CTGGTAGCTCGCTTAAATTCATGTATTCATGCAGTCTGGGAGAGACATACAGCGCGGGCACTAGTCCCTATATGAGAGCAATATTCGATGCAAGGACGGAGAGTCAACCAGGGTTAAACATGTTTCAACCGGGGAAACAGTAAATATAAATAAAATAAAATTAAATATGTGGATACCGACACCAACATAAATTGGCTACTAGAACGGGGACTATTTCTGTCCTACAATTAATACATATTATACTAAATAATTCAAATAAGAAAACGAGTGAAGATACAAAATCCGTGTGCATGTGTGGGTGCATATATATATATATATATATATATATATATATATATATATAAGGCTCAAACATTAACATTCCATGGTTATAATTTATTACACTGGAATCGAAATCATGATCCAATTCATAAGACTTAAACATTTGTAAGTCTGGTGAATTGAATTTGTAGGTCTAATAAAGTATTTATATTTGTGTATCTAAGTCTTTATCATTTAAGCTTTAATATCATTTATTTATAATGTAAAAAAACGAAATACAACTAGCCTAAAAATAAAAAAAAAATATCGCTCCAAAATTAAAAATATTGAGATATCTATAGAGTATAATTCGTCACAGCAACTATCTAAAGAGAAGAGGAAAAGCTAAAGAGCGAGCATAAAGCGACAAAGAAAAGAAGATAAGGACAAATTATCACAGCATCCGAGACGTACGCACATCCACGCAGACGGGAGCATGGTTGCACGCAACACAAACAATACGGGAAAAAATAACTTACACGCATGATCAGTAGACAAATGAAATTCGAAAAATATACGCAGTAAATTTCTGATGCTCTCTGACACGGATGTGAAACTCTGGAGTCGGTTTGCTGATGGTAACATCAGTCACCTGTATGGCAAACTTTTACTTGTCCTTCTCCTAGACCAGTTTCCATCCCATAGCGAGAAGAAGAGGACTAATACCTTTCCCAAGGGTATTAGCACGTAAGTAAATGTAACGGATTCAATCAATATATCTTTCAATCAAGATCTCTATCTATAAAAGGTAGGATGTATGTGTGTGTGTCTAATGAATGCACGGCCGCAATTTTCGACAGATTTGCACCAAAATTTACATGTACTTTGCATTTCCCAACTCCCATCGATAGTGGAAATAATCGATTTTTTCATGCTTCTACGGCAAAACGCGTAGTTTGCGGCCATATTGAGAGCCAATAGCTGGTTGCCACGAATAGGCAGTATGATTCTATTGGCCAGCGTGAGAGCCAACAGCTGACTGACACGAATTTTAATTAGCATGCTAGCATGCAAAAACATTCGATAGCTGTATTCGTCACAAGTGAGAAAAAATTAAATCTATATGGCACTTTACTCCAGTTGGCTCATTCGCTCAACGTTGATTCTGATTCCGCAGAACTGGGTTGGTTGTGAAATATTATCTTTTTTCATTCGGTTTTTCCAGTTATGAGTCCTTTCTTGAAGCTGATCATTTTGTGTTCATTTTGTTTAGTTATTTTTCGTAACAAATTTAATGTTTAGTATAGAGCTTAGAAAAATTCGCAGTGTGAGATAGGCAAGAAGTAAAGCATGTAGCAACATCAGCACGGCAAAGGGCACTCCTTTAAAGGCAAGGAAGGCCAAAAATATTTTAAGTCAAGCGATAGCAATTGCTGTATGAGTCATACGACACAAGCACGTGCAACGCCGGGCCATGCTGCTAGTATATATATATATATATATATATATATATATATATTCATCCAGAGACTGTTTCGCTGTTTTACCCCTCATCAGTGTGGCTCGACATCCGAAGATTTTAGACGTATTCATTTTTAGACAAATACGCCAGTTACCGAAGAATTCGATCTGTCTTAACGAAAAATTTTGCATATATATAGTTAATTCATTTAGCTAACACTATAACCCCTATCTATCTATCTCTCTATCTATATATATATATATATATATATATATATATATTTATATATATTTCCGTAATCCTTATTTCTATTAGGTAATCGTATTTTGAGTAGAAGATACGTTTATTTAACCAGTATATTTATTTATTTTCGTCTACCGGCTTTGTCTTCTAGAGACATTGTTAACGAAATATGTGCACTATCTAGCATGATTTGAACCTGCATGCTTTTCCGGAGAACCTTTTTTAGATCTGATGTGCATTGACCTCTCGAATGTAGTAAAGGAAGAACAAGGACAAAGAATAAAGTTAAATGGTCTAATATTTCTTCGAACTAAACAAAGAACTTTGTGGAGAGACATAATCACCTACATAATGATCGAGAAGTTCCCATAAAACAATTAACTTGTTATTACTGTAAATATTTAAACCAAGCGGACAACTGATTGAAAAGTAGAAGGGGGAAGCGGAAGGGAGAGAAAATCTGAAACTTTACTCTTTTAACCGATTTTAAATAATGTAAGCGGGAGAATAAAAAATGTGATTATTTTTTCACATCTCCCTCAAGCCAGAAATGCCTGTGATCATTAAATTGAAACATTCAATGTATTTATTAACAACTATTTTTCATGATATCACGATCTATATGAAAGTGTACTGAAAAAATAGACGGTCCTTTTAAGTTTTGTCTTGGAAGAGAAAAATCAGAAAACAGAAAGACGGGTGGATAGTGTGTGTGTATGTGTATGTGAGAGAGGGAGTGTGTGTGTGTGAGAGAGAGACGCGTAGAAGAGTGAGCAAGGTCTAGGCCGAACGTGAGTAAATAACATGAGATTAATTCCTCAAACATAAATCTTTTATTGATTCAGAGACTGGGATGAGAAATTTATGATGCTACCAGACAACAAGACAGCTTCTTTGAATAAGACATATTTACTTGGATAAACGAGTTTACGCATGATAGTCAGACATGAACATTATTCGGACTTGGGAAGTGTTTAAGACATTACGATTTCAACAACAACAACAACAACAGTAACCATAACAAAGATAAAGAATAAAATAAACGAAAAAGACTGCGTGTTGTCCAAATCCAAATGTAAAACTTACATTATTAGGACTCTTATCCTCACCCTCACTCCGATATCCACAACTTTTTGGCCGTTGTACCCACCGGCCATCTTCAGTTGATTGGAATTTCAAACCGAAGACTTTGCTTCGTTCACTGTGGTAGATTGTTCTACTTCCACGTGGCATGCCTGTTCAGGATGTCTCAGTTATTTCCCTTTAACTGAACGCTACAAGTTTATTTCACCACTGCTGTGGCTGGTATTGAACTCACTCTTTGGATCTAGTCACTGGATCTAACCAACATCTTTATCCACTGGGGAGTTGAGTTAAATGAAAATAACTGATACATCCGGAAGAGGCATGGCACGTAGAACAAGAACAATCTGCCCAGATGGACAAAATAAAAGGTTCGGTTTGAAATTCCAATCACCTGAAGAAGCCCGGAGCGTACAACGGATGAAAGGTTGTGAATATGACAATGATGCTGAGGACAACAGTCCGAATAATGTAAATAATGTAAGAAATCAAAATACCTCATCTCAGAGATATAGACCGATACCAAATGTAAAATCTTTAATCCTCTCAAGGTTTTCATGATGCGTAACAGTGTATTTTGTAGCTACAGAATAGCAACATGTTTAAATTCTGAACATTGCAATCGTATCTCTGCCAATATTATTTGAATCGAGATGACTGATATTTACTAAAAGTAACTGAGGAACGTTAAGAGACATGGAAATGAACAGAGTATTGGTGAGAACTATTCAAAATCAATTAAAAATCGATACCAGTACACTACCAGCTATAAAAACCACAGTTTCTTTATAGTTAGCTCTGCATTTTATTCTACCGCAGTTTGCATCTATCTATCTAGCTAGCTAGCTATTTATCTATCTATCTAGATAGCTAGCTAGCTATTTATCTATCTATCTAGATAGATAGATAAATAGCTAGCTATCTAGATAGCTAGCTAGCTATCTGTTAGTGTTCAAATCTATAAAATAGTTTCTTAATTGTTGTTGTTCCCAGGTCTAACCTGTTAAGGTCCCAGCTATTGACAAATTGTGACACCCGTTCAAACGAAAATTAAAAACACTATGAAAGTATAAAAATACAAATTTATAGTAAAATGACCAACAACAGATTTCATCTGTAGTTGAAGGCATGGAATTGCGTTCAAAATATTAAGATTTCAGCATGATATAACCCATATATGTGTTGATATGCTGCTAAACAAAATCAAACAAACTACAAAATAGTAAGACTATGTGGTTCATTTGAAGATGAAGTCTTAATTTCGATGACCAGGTGTAAAATATATATTTAAGCGTCTGTTCTGTGTTGTATAGACGTAGATTTAAATTTGAAATTTTATTAATTTTAACGAGATTAAGTGATCTAATTTTATATTAATATTCATTTGATTCTAATGATTCCTGTTTTTACAGAACTTTACTCATTATTTTATTACATAACTATAGACTGAATGACTCGACTATATTATTATTTGGCGTTGTGTGAACCCGAAATTAGAAATCACCGTGGCCGAGTGTTAGAATGTAAAAGCTACATGAACAAAATGATCTTGACCGATTGATGTGCAATATAAGATATTTATTTAACAAATATAACAAAAGGAAAGTTTAAGGGATTCTTTTCCTACAAATAAATAGAATACACAACGAAAATTGTTAATGGATGTATTTGAGTGTGTCTTGACTGTGAAGGTGAGTGTTGGGTGTAAATCGTCCACAGACATTTTGGTTTCACTGTGAAAAAAAGAGGGAACACAAGAAAGGGGCGTTACTTAATGAACGATTCCTGTCTTTTGCAAGAGTATTGGTGTGAACTATTCAAAAGTCATTTCAACATCGATAGCAGAGTACTACGCTGACTCGAGGTTAACAAAGAAATCTATGTTGAAATATAGACGGGATTGCATTTGCGGTGAATCTGAACAGTTTCGACAGTTTCTTTATATTTATATCTCCACTTAATTCTATCTCAGTTTGCATACACCTACTTACCTACATATCTATCTATCTATCTATCTATCTGTCAGTGTTCAAATCTATCTCTCTATAAAATAGTTTCTTACTTGCTGTTGTTCCCCCGACCACCTTGTTATAGTCCCAGCTATGGGAAAATTGTGATCCACCCAAAACTAAAATTAAAACACTAGGAACGTATAAAAATACATATTTATAGTAAAATTACCAACTATACATTTTACCTTTAGTTGAAATAATGCAGTTACGTTCAAAATATTTAGATTTCGGCATTAAATAACCCATAGAGGTGTTGATATGCCGCTAAGCAAACTCAAGCAATCGATAAAATAATACGTCTATGGGGTTCATTTGACGACGAAGTATTCCGATGTCTAGTGTAAAATAAAGATGTAAGCGTCTGTTCTGTGCTGTGTAGACGTAGATGTAAACTTGAAATTTGATTAATTTTTACTTGATTAATTCATCTAATATAATATTAATATTCCTTTGACTCCTAAACTCAAAAAAACCTACAGAGATATTTTAACAATTATGTAATTCCAACTTAGTATGATTCAGCAAACTTTCTAGAGATGCTGTCTCGATAAAACATCCCAGCTTCTTATGCTGTAAACGGTTTAATAGGAACTAATAGGTTTCGTTTATGATTCGCTCAGCAGTCCTTCCATGTTTATTGAACAAAAATCGCATATTTTGTTTGAGGTTTACCGGTTCTTTATTATTTAATCGTCATAATAATTGAATTGCCTTAACTTGTTTGGTATCTGACTGATCAGTGTCTACGAATTTTTATTATGTGTGTACCCGGTCAGCAGATATTTGGTTGTTGCATCCGACTTGTAGTAAGGAGGCCGGACTCTTTAAAAGCGCTTAGAGAGGTTGATAAGAGGGATAAACATTTTCATAATATCGCAGTATTCGTACTAGTATATAAAGCAAGGATAGGTGTCCTCTCATGTATTTTTGGCGGTAAAATCAGAGGAAACATTATGTCTTAGAGCTACATTCTGACTAGTTTGCATTACCATATATGTAATGGTGATAATTGCGTTTTTTTTTTAGTCAAAATCTCTAACTTATACATTGAAAATAAACATTAAAACAAATAAAAGAAAAAACACCTACATCCATCAAATTTTCTTTCTCCAGTATTCGGGGGATATGTTATGATTTATGTAGTGTAGAATCTTCTCTTTTGAAACATTCTCTCGATATCTTCGCACTTGGCGAAATTAATTGAAATTCTTGTATCGGCACAAATGAATTTTCTGTTCCAGGCTATCTTCGTCTTTGTTGAAAAGATTCTTACATACATATGCAGCATGTTGGTGTTTATATGCAGGAAAATCATGCAGTTGCAAGAGAATTGTCTCTTGTATCTCTAGATGATTCTTTCCTAGGCATTCGTCTTTCATTATGACACTGTTAGATGTCTCTCTTTCTTTTGGGACTCTTTTCTTTTTCGGAACTCTAACATTTCTGCCTAAAATAAAATTATGTTGACAGATTAAATAGGTCAATGTCTTCCCCCTGCCTCTAAATACAAATAGTGGATTTAACTTTTATATGATAAAGAGAAATAGTGTAGAATAAACCTCTCTAAAAAAATTCCAGTTCGACCATTTTGATTCAGATTTTCATTATTGCGTTTGCTTTTTTGGCAATTTTTTTACGTGATATTTGTGACAATTTTGCCTTTTTTATAACTTGGAAATAAATTCGGGAACAATCGAAAGTAATTGCGAATTCTCGCTAAAGTCACAGATGAAATAAAATAATTGTTGGTACTGAGGACCCCATATATCAGATTTTCTTTAAAAATTGACAGAAGAATTAAACTTAAAACTAATTCCCACTTGATTTCAAAATCAATTTTTGTTCTGTAGTTTAAATTTCATTTCAGATTTTCGATTTCATTCCTATTTGGATTCTCAGTTTGTGCTGAACCCCTTAAAATCCACTCCAAAGTTTCTGATTTGTCTGTCTTTGCCTAATCCACCTGGTGACCTGTTCAAAAGGACAAACATTGTTAAACATTATCTTGATAAATAATAAAATTCGACAAATTGAAACGTTATTCAATGGAGCCTAAAATTTAATTTTTAACAAAGCGGTCTGTTTTTTTCTTTTGACGAATTATTATCTCTTGAAAATTTAACTATATCAGTCGAAACGAGACAACTCTACAGGAAATTTCATCCATCATCAACATAAACTGTTCAATTTTGGGACCTTCTACCAACCATGAATTGTTTTAAACAACTTTATTATATCAAAATATTTTCTGTAAAACAAATATATTATTTTTGTTGTTGTTGCCTTTATATTTAATTTAGTAAAGGTTCAATTTAATTTGTAATTTACGATGCAGAAAGTCCAACAATAAATGACGCCCGATAGGGCGTTTTTTAAGACTTTATTTTAAAATGTTTCTTTTATTTACATTCTCCTAGATCTTCATCATGGCACTGGCCTCTTGGCAATTCAGATCACGCTGTAGTATATTTTGATTTTCCTTTTTGCATCGACTATTACGAAGTAATCTCCTGTTCATGGGTCTTCTCTCGGCTAATAGGTTACCAATTGGTATTTATTTAATAATATTCTTCAAGACGTCACTTGGATTGATTTTCTTAACTGTTCTATTGAGAATTGTGCTACTTGTTTGTTTAAAATCGACATCGATGCTTTTACTCCTTCTCAGAGACACCAAGTGAAATTACAATCTTCTTCACGTTTTATACGAGGCTGTTCAGCCGCTATAGTCAAATCTATTAAACAAATATATTTCCAACAAAGTCAATGTAATTATTCCGAAAAACAAATGCAACTGCCGAAACAATATGATCTGTCCCTGAAACGGTAAATGTTTGACCGTTGATATTATATATTATATACTGAGCGAGTATACCTTCTGGTAATGATGTTAAATTTTATTTTGGTTCCACTGAAAATCCTTGGAAATTTCATTTTAAGCCATGAAATTATCTGTTTGGACAAAATCTTTCAGGCTGTGTGGTGTTTTAAATCTTTGAATAAATTCTCTCTAATTTAAATATAATACTCTTTACCTAAGAGTCTTGATAGTAAAATATTAAAATGAGAAATATTTTTTTTTGATATTTAAACACTTAAGTCATTACCTGATGTTAAACATTAACTGTGAAATTTAACGGAAAATTTTTATAAATAAAAATGTGTAAATGTATATTTTAAGTATGCAACCTGTGTATATCGATACATATGTGTGTGTTTATGTGTAATTGCACATGTAAATGAACGTATGTATATGTGAGATTTATATATATATATATATATGAAAAAACATTTTTTATATTACCTTATCTTAATTTATATCTAAAAATATACAAATTACATTCATGAATATATATAGATTAAAAGTAATCTTTTTATATTTAAATATTTTAAATTAAACTAATTAAATCTTTTAAATTTATATTTTAAAATTACAAATATAAAATGTTTTAAAATTGTATTAAACTCATATTAAATCCCTAAATTAATTGTAGAGAGTTAAAATTTAAATCTAAATTTCAATTAAATTAATTTCTTTGTGGATATTTTAAAACATTTAAATTAATATCAAACGTTAAAATCTTTTATTTTAGCTAAATTGCTAAAACTATAACACCCCAGTTCTTCCTCCGTAAATCCTAAAATATCTACTTTCTCTTTACTTCCCCCTAATTTTTCTCTTCTCTCCTTCCCATTAATCATTTCCGTTATGTTGATATAACTTTTTTAAAAAGTATTAAATTAGAATAAACCCTCTCTAAATCGACCAGTCCCTATCTGTTAAATTACATAACCTTAATACTGCGTTGTCAAAAAGTGTAAAATTTCATTTCATTTTTTTCGTTTGAATGATGTCTGATGATCCATGGTATCAAAAGGTAGTGAAATAAATATTCCAATGGAGCCTTAAAGCGGTCTTTATCTCTGAATTTACATTGAGCTCTCAGGATTTCATCCTCTTTGGGACTACCTATACAGATTACCAACATATATATATATATATTAAATGTACAAAGTCCGACAATTATTTTAAGACATTTTTATGTTTATACATTCTTTTATTGATATAACTATTTAAGTAAATGGTCTGTTTATAATAAACTGTGGCCGAATCGGTTAAGGCAAGTCAGACGGTTCCGTATAGGATACAGGTTCGATTCCTGTTGGGGGACGAATATTTTCTATGAAATATCTTGGACATTCAGGCCTATAAATCTTGTTTATTATAAACAGAGCATTTACTTTAAGATTTTATCTACAAAAAGAATGTATAAACCTAAAAATGTCTTTATATATATATATATATATATATATATAGCATGTATCTTAAATAATGAATGTAATTTTAAAAATTACAAATATGTAATCCCAGTAAAAAATACGATAACCATATATAACTTTTAAAAATTTAAATTACGTATCGGTCAGTCTGTACTCATTACCTGAAGAGTGCGTTGTGTATAAAAACCTGAATCGTGCTATATAGTAAAAATATTGTTTTAAGTTATGTTATATTTATGTGTAAAAGTGCTCAATATCAGAATTAGAGCTAATGTATATTTAAAATTGTCACATGCTTGTATTTACGATTAAGAGAGAGGGGGAAAAATATTTACAGGTGCTATAATGTTAAACCATTCGGAATGAGAAAACTGTACTTCCATGCTTTTAACCATGTGAAATTATAACCCAGTCAGTTTGAAGAAAAATTCTAAACTCAAAATTCGTAGAAGTTCTGGCGTATCACATTATGGAGTATCACACTAAGCAGTTCTTGCGTATCACATCATGGAGTATCACTTTAAGAAATTCTAGCGTATCACATTATGGAGTATCACACTAAGCAATTCTGACGTATCACACTATGGAGTATCACACTAAGCAGTTCTGCAATATCCCATTATGGAGTATCACACTAAGCAGTTCTGACGTATCACATTAAGCAATTCTGGCGTATCACATTATGGAGTATTAAACGAAGCAATTCTGATGTATCACATTATGTAGTATCACACTAAGAAGTACTTGCGTATCACATTATG